GCCTTGTGACATTTGCTCCCATTGGCAGATCATGAGACTGATGCCTAGAGCTAGCCACCCTTAGAATTCCAAATTGCAACACTTAGATATTTCAACAGTCAGGGTCATGTGGTTTCCAGGACTCCAGGCTCTGTAATCTGAAACCCAATATGCTAATGAGGCATCCTACCCACTATTCTGTGATAAGACATTCTGTTATGCTAATAAGGCATCCTACTTTCTGTACTGTGATAGAATGCTAAACCTATTATGCTAATAAGGTATCCTATTTGCTGTGCTGTGATTGGACCACTACCCCTATATAAGCTTGTGCCTTCCTGCAATAAAGCAGATCTGTGTCACTGAACCTGGTCTCCTGTGTCTGAATGAAGCTCTGCTGACACAGTCTCCTCACCAGCCCAAGGTCCAGGACCAGGCAGAAGCCGCGGCAACAGAAGGCAGCACCAGGCAAGCAGAAGAGTGACCTCAGCCCAGGGCAAGCAGGGGAGCAGACTCAACACCCATGAGAACAAAGGAGCCGCTGCAGCTGGCAGTGACCGCAGCTGGCGCCCAATATGGGGCTCGAAAAGCCCGACCCCACGAGGCTGTAACATTTGGACTGTAACACTTTGGTCATCCGGTGCCCTTTTTGGCAGTAATCCTTCCATGGGTGCTCACTGCTTTTGTTCTCCTGGCTCTCTGTCTTCAGTTTGGCATGTTGTTCCTGTCTCCACCAGTCATCTTCCTGAATGGCTCCTGAGTCCTTCTGGGTATGTCTTGCAGGGTGAGTGACCTCCAGTAAGGGGAATAGTCATCCCAGCTGCTGCCAGCCCCCACGCTGCTGCACTGGTTTCTCTCCTCAGGAGTAGGGAAATTAGGGTAACAAAAAGGAATCTAACTAAGGTTTTAGATGAAGTACTAGCTCTTGCCCCCTGGTTTACAGATTCCTGTTGTTGGGATCTGGAGCAATGGGCTCATGTGCTATTTGTGGCCAGAAAGAGAGAAGTCAGGGAAGGGCATCCATTATCTGGGCCGTTCTACCCCATTGTAACTGCCATTCTGGCCTTGCTTCGGGGAGTTCCCCCTGAGGCCCCTGAGCTGAATAATCTCATACTTTAAAACATAGATACACAAATAATGCAACAGGATTGTGGGGATAGCTTGTCACAGGCATATCCAGCAAAACCAAACTAACTGATTTCTCTTCTGTTGTGGAAATGATAACTGCTGATAATGAGGTAAAAAATGAGGAATTAGGGTCCAAGGGTACCCCTGATGAAAATCAGGAAGTCAAGATCGCCCCTGTCCCGCAATTACAGGGTAGTGGCTACCCTCTACCATCTTGTATTGTGTTTGATGAAAAATGGGAAATTAAGGCAGCCTCCACTCTGCGATTATGGGGCGATGGCTACTCTACACCATCTTGCACTAGCTCTAAGGAAGTTCCCCTCCCCCCCGGTCCATCTATCCCTCCCTTCCAGAGGAGGACTGGAAGCCCCTCCCACCTAGGCCCCTCTCCTATGAAACAATGGGTGATTTTACACAGTTTTTCCCGGTTACCGTCAATCAGGGACTACAAAACCCTAATGTCTGGAATCCATATTCCCATGATACTTTAAAAAAGCTGGCAAGGAAGCCATTGAGGATGGCATTCATTACCCTAGGTTTGGTCAGCTATTAGATACGATCAGACATGCGGCCAACACCCATGACTGGCAGAATATTGCCCACGCCTGTCTACAGGGAGATTATTTTCTCTTATGGAAGGCTGCTTATCTGGATGAATGCAAACAACAGGCAGAGTGCAATAGAACAGCCAATGTCCAAAACATTGGGTTTGATGCCTTGGTATGGCATGACACTTTTGAAACCCCACAAGCCCAGGGACAGGGACCTCCTCGCTAATTTAAACAAGTGCGGCTTTGTGCACTCTGTGCTTTCCAAAGTATGCCGACTCATGAAGATACCAAATTAACCAGATTAATACAAAAAACAGTTGAGCCTTTCTCTGACTTTGTTGAAAGGTGCCAACAAAGTGTTAGTAGGAAAATCAGCCATTGGAGAGCCACAGATGCTTTGCTCAAAGATCTTGTGTATGAAGGCGGCTCTACTGAGAGTTGCCTTGCCATAGGACCCGTTAGACACAAGGATGTCTGTGAATGGATTCTAGCCTGTCAGGATGTGGGGACTACTCGAATTCATGCCACAGCTCTCACTGAGGCACTGGCTGCTCGCCAGCCACAGGCAGAAATAGACAAGGGCAAATGTTGGGCTTGTGGAGGACAGGGTCATTGGTCTCGTACCTGCCCTAACAAGATCTGGCAAATGGAAGTTACTCACTCCCCTTCCTTTGGCAAGATGAAATATATCCATCATATTATTGACACCTGTTGTTAATGCAAGGGTGAGCCTATGCTTGTGTCTTTCCAGATAATGTTCCAGCCCCCATTTGGATCCCAGCCCAGAACATCAGAATTTCCTGGAATGGAAAACCTCCCTCCACAACCACCGACCCCGGAGATGGCAGCCCTGGAAAAAATGACCACCAAGAGACTGACCCAACATCACAGAAAACAAAAGCCACCAACCTGAGGAGACCTTGAATGCTTTACTCCACAAACAGAGACACTGAGGCATCCTACCCTGTATTCTGTGATAGGACATTAAGTCTGTTATGCTAATAGAATACTGTCTGTTATGCTAATAACATATTCTACTTTCAGTACTGTGATAGGATGCTAAACCTGTTCAGCTAATAAGGTATCATACTGGCTGTGCTGTCATTGGACCACTACCCCTATATGAGCTTGTGCCTTCCTGCAATAAACCAGATCTGTGTCACTGAACCTGGTCTCCTGTGTCTGAATGCAGCTCTGCTGACACAGTCTCCTCACCAGCCCTGGAGTCCGGGACTGGGCAGAAGCAGTGATGATTGGAGGCAGTGCCAGGTGAGCAGAAGAGGTGCCTCAGCACCGGGCAAGCAGAAGAGCTTCCTCAGCACTGGGAGAGCAGAACAACAGCCTCAGCCCAGGGCATATGGAAGAGCAGTCTCGGCCCAGGGTGAGTGGAGGAGCAGCCTCAATGCCCATGAGAATGAAGGAGCGGCATGAACGAGAACAGAGGAGCGGCCAGCGCTGGCGGTGACCACATCTATAACCAAAGGATTGCGGAAAGAAATTCAATGAAGGTATAACTGTGGAAAATTACAGCTATATCAAGAAAGTAAACAGAGATAAAAATGACAGGATTCAATAACCATCTTCCATTAATAACTTTAAATATTAACCAACTGAACTCCCCATGTCAAAAGACAGAGACTAGGTGAATGGATTAAGAAACAAAACTTATCTTTTTGTTGTCTGCAAGAAACCCATCTCACTTTCAAGGACAGACACTATCTCGAAGTGAAAGGATGCAAAAAAA